CTGAACCGCCCTGAACCCTAAACCAAACCTCGCCATCTGGCTGGGGTTTAAGCCGACGTCGCTGCAGGTAGATGCTCTGCACAGTACGTTCGCAGCCTCCCAAAGTCCAAAACCTTAAGTTCCGAATCAAAAATCGCCTCAACCTGGAAATCCTGGGCCCTCAACCCATTTCAACCCGAAGCCATTACACACTAAACCCCCCAAAAAACCATGCACATCACAAGCCCAAGACCTTAAACTTAAAACTCTGAAACATGAGCAGCCCTCAACCCTAAAACCCATAAGAAGCTCTGAACCTCACCATACTTAAAGCATTGTATAGAACCGGCGCGCATGGGGTAGTTCTCCACATTAGGGTCCCTTTTCAGGTCTTATTTCTGGAAGTGCGACACGTACTATATTTGGGACCTAAAAAGAGACGGTAACTGAGAGACCTACCCATGCAGAACCCTTATAGCACCCTTATAGAGATCCTATAGAATCCTTACAGATCCCTCTAAGGGACCCTACAACTAATTGAGAGAGTCAGTGCACATGGGTAGTTCTCGAAATAAGGGCCCCTTTTAGATCCCCAAGATAGTGCGGCACCGTTATGAAAAGGACCCTAAAAACGGACCCGAGTTTGGAGAACTACGCACATACGAGCCTCGTTGTTCGCAAGGCTCAAATGACTTCATGGGCGGAGCCGCTCTCGCCTCTCTTCAGCACTAGAGTTTAGGCGTTAGGGCATTGGGGCTTCGGGTTTAGTTTAGGAAAAAAAGGCTCAGGGTTTAGGGTTTGGGGTTTTACGGGTTTGGGCCTCAACAATTCGTGATAGTATCCCTTAGCATTCCTAAAAGCCTAACCCAACAATGTTCCAACATATTCTGTGGATATGCCCACTAATGGTTTGACTCGTGGGTTTCGGCGACCATAAATATATCCTTAGATTAAATTAAATAAACCCTAAACCCTAACCTAAACCCTAAAGCCTAAACCCTAAACCCTAAAGACCCCATGGAATTCATCTCCTACTTGTTTACACCTCAAAATTACAGCCGGGATTGGGGGTGTACAGTTCCGGGAGTGTCTTTGGGTGTCGTCTTCGCATAGGTTTTGCAGCATATGGGGGTTTCCGAAAATAGGGGGGACCCTATTTGGGGGTCCTTATAATAAGGTCCCTATTATTTAGGGTACTATATTAGGGTCCCCTATTTCCGCAAACCCCCATATAGAGTTGATGGCTTTGTAATTTGGGGCTTGGACTCAGGTGGATATTCCAAGAGACCTTAGCGAAGGAATATCCATGAGTTAATTGGAACTAGGACGCCCAGTATAGTTTGCGAATTCTGTTTGCTTCGGGGTTTTGGGCTTTGTGGTTTTCGAGAGTGCTAGGTTTTTCGTATTTCGCTGATTTTGTTGGGTTACTCGGAGGTTCATGGGTAGTTATAAGTAGGGTTATAAGTCCCCTGTTATGGGTTATGACTAAAGTTACCCTACTTATAACCCCCTTTATAACCACCCCTGAACCTCCAAGTAAACCCTAAACCCTAAACCCTAAACACCTAAACCCCTAGACCCCTAAACCCTAAACCCTAGACCCTAAACCCTAAACCCCAACCTTAAACTCTAAACCGCAACCTTAAGCCCTAGCTTTGGGGAGGACCTGGCAGAGCCGAACTCCTGTTTCGAAGACCTGGGCCGAAAGCTCTAAACCTGAAGTTTTTCAAGTCCAGACGCTAAACCTTAATCTCTTTTTGGGGTTTAGGGTTTATGGTGCAGGGGGTTTAGGATTTAGGTTTAGGTTTAGGGTTTAGGGTTTTAGGGTTTGCGGTTTAGGGTTTAGGGTTTCGGGTACCGTAGTCTCCCTAACCTGCAAAGGAAAGCCAACTTGGAGCCTCTTGTTGTTGTCCTACAGCGCAAGCCCTAAGCGGTTTAGGGTTTAGGGTTTAGGGTTTAGGGTTTAGGGTAAGCCCTACTCATCACTCCCGAGCATCACCAAAAACCCGAAACCCCGAGACTTTAGAGACAAAGTGAAACCTCTGGGTTTGGGGGAATGGGGTTTCTGGATTCGGGTTGGCGAATCCTTCCAAACAAACCATAGTGACTACTTAAATTAAATATCATCTCGACCGCCCCTTGACTAGACTGTGTAGGATTTTGGTTTAAGTAAAAGCAGCACAAAATTCAAAGAGCACCAGAACGCTACATCGAAAACACACCGGAAGCCCAAGGACATCGCTGGCCAGAAGCATGGCCGGGCCATTTCGTCCCAGCCATGGCTGCTCTTGCTTTGACTGTTAGTACTTTTCTCTGCAGAATTCATGATGCCGTCAAATGCCCAAACAGTGATTGACCATGACCACGGCCACGACGACCAAGACCACCACGACGACCACCGCGACCAGGACGGTCCACCCCGAAAATGCATCGAGACTTGCGTAAGCAATGAGACACGAGCGCAAACTAATACAGGGGCCTTGGTAATTAGAATAGGGTTCTGGGGCCCATATTACTGTAATTATAGTAAGAAACCCCTAAAATACTATAGGTAAGTATTTAGGCCCCTTTAGTACGCACTGCGCTACACCGGGAGCACGGACTATTCTGCCATAGCCCGCCCGAACACCAACCATGTCTCGTTACCCTCAACGTAAGAGCCCCGCAGAGTGTACCAGACTGTTTGGGGATCAAAAGTACGTGTAATTTAGTTGACAGGGTTGTCACTCTCCTAGAAGTGTTATCAAACATCATCAAGTCCAGGTGATTAGTGTTAGCGTCAGTATTGCCATGAACAGTATCAGTCATGGTAATACTTCGCATAAGGCCCGACCATACGTACGACCTTACTCTAGATTGCAGGAGTACTCTTTGCTCAGCCCCGAAACGCTTCGAAAGAGCACCAAGCATTGGCATGTGTTGGGTTGGGGGCGTTTGTGGCGAGAACCTGTAGCCGTCCAATATCTTTTTGCATTTTGCTCTTCGAGAAACGATCTGGGCACTGGAGAAGTCACAACACACAAGCTTCCTTAGACTGTTTAGCATAAGCCGTCCGACGCCCTAAGGCTACTCTTAAGGCTAGCGAACCCCGACAGCCTAAGATAATATAGTGGCTTGGAGATTCGCAATGGTATTCCTGAGGTACTGCTCAATCAAAGAAGCTAGACTGGTATCACAAGGTGATGCTGAGCACTGAAGAACATGATCCGTCTTTGGGGTCTAGGGTCTGGGGTTTTAGTTGGTCAGTAGTAAAACCCTGAACCTTCAACCCTAGAATCCTAGAAGCAAAGTAGTCGGCGATCACCGGAGTCCAAGAGTGAGAAGCGATAGTCTATAGTGCAAAAAACAAGTCATGAGTGTAAAATTCCGGCCCGTGAGCCAAACATAGCGGCCTGAGTTTTGATGATTCCGCTGACTGTTCTGTATACCGAAAGTCGCCACCGTCCGACGTTTCGGATCGCAGCACGACTAGTTCAAAAAGGCAGCAAGACAAAGAAGCTCCCACGTGGACGCTTGCCCAGCGCAGAGACGTCGCGCAACCCGCGCCATGGCCTTGTAAAGGTTTTCATAGCGACTGTACAAGGGTTTTATGAGGGGCTTACAGGGGTTCAGAAGGGTTTTGTCAGCTTGTCGGGTTTTGCATAGGGGCTGTATTGCGGGATAGACTTGAGGCTCTAATTAGGGTATAGAGTGTAAGTGCTAAAAAAAGTATTGGGTACGATTTTTTCAGGTTCTAGGTTGTAGTCCGAGTTTAGGGTGTGGGAAAGATGCAAGGTGGGCTAATTGCTTTCCAGGGGAACAACACAACCCTGGATGAATTACGAAGGCCTCTATATTACGCAGCCTAGATCTCGGCGATCTCGGCATATCATCCGTAAACCACCCGTATGGCCTCGAGCTGCTTGAAAACCTCCCCTAAAAACCCTAAACCCTAAACCCTAAACCCCTAAACCCCCAAACCCTAAACCCTAAACCCTAAACCCTAAAACCTTCTTTAGCCTGCCTGAACCGGCTCTACACTCTAAACTCTGAGCAGTCTTGTAATTATTACGGCCACTTCAATACAGCAGCCTGAGATTGCAAGCTCTTTTCTGATTCTTAAGGCTTGTTTTTATCAGGACCCTGAATGCAAGAGACCGCAACCGTCTGAGGTGCATTCGCTTTCTTTTGAACCCTATGGCGCGTGTTCACGAGACCGAGGTCGAGCAAGGGCTCGTGCTGAGATGTTGCTGGGGTGTCCCTAGAGCCCTAGAGAGAGTGTGTGTGTGTGCTCAGAGGCCGTACCCCTTGATTCAGGATTGTCCTTAAACCCAAACCCCACCCCCAAACCATAAACCGTACCCTGTGATTCAGGACTTAAGCCCTATCAAGGACTTCCCTTCAAGCACAGTACAGCACATGTAGACCGAGAATGGCTGGAGGCCTCCGCTCCGAAGGCTCAGGATCTGTGAACGCTTTTTGCCGCACACTGTCCCTAAGAACCTAACATAGGAGTCGGAAGATTAAAACCGTTTGATTTCTGAGATTTCCTTACCACAACGATCCGAAGCTGTGACCCCAAAACCCCTGTTCTAATTTTGAGATTCGGGCCCCTATAATTGCCAGTAGGCATCTGCCCACGACGGGTTCTTCGGTGCTCGTGCTTGCCATGGGCTGTCGCAGCACTTAAGCTGACCAGGGCCCTGAGCCGTGTCTTACATCCCTAAACCTACCGCACTAAGGAAGCATGTCAGGGAGTCAGAATAAAGAGCCCTACAACGATGGGTGTCTGGGTCCGGGTACACCAACCCCCAGCCCTCTACGCTAAACCGCATTAAACCCCAAACCCGCGACACAAAAACAAAGGGGACGCGGCCTCAGAAGCCCCAGCCTCGCGCACGAGCCCACCCTTGGCTCGAAGACACGTTTTAACAGATCTGGTCGCCTGCCGCCTTGCCTATCCTCGACTGCTCGGTGTACTTGTCGTTCGTTCGCGCGGCCGAAGAACTGGTTTTTGGAGTATGAGCGGTAACGGCTCCGCGATGGCTCACCAGGAGCTGAAAAAGACCGCCACTCTTGTGGTGGACCAGGCGAGGGAGGTGGCAGTGGAGAAGGCAACCTGCCTTTAGCTTTCTTCTAAACGGATCTGCAAAGGGAAAGATGAGGCCAACCACAAGGACTCCACATAGTGACAGTAATCCCGCTTCGGTTCATTCAACGAGCCCAAAAAACCGAAACCCTAAACTCTGTGCTATGATCTACCCTGCAAGCCCTAAACCCTAAACCCTAAACCCTAAACCCTTTAACAAGAGAGCCAAGGTGACCTGCCCCATTTGCTTCGAGGCACTGAGCGACTACCCAGATAAGGTTGGCGCCCTCACCTTCCAGTGCAAACGCGTCGAAGCTGCCCTGCATCTGGGTGTTCCGTAGGAATCCATTTTCATGTGATTCTAAAGAGCCATTTGCATGTTTCTGTAAAGATGAACCCAAACAGGGATAGCAAGTTCTTGTTATTTTGGGTTAAAAGGGTCTTTCGTAGGTATCACAGCTCCTGCGTGCTGGACGCCGGCACGGGCAAGTTGATCTTCCAAGCGGAAACTGGGCCCTTCTTGTTGACTCAGATCTTCCAAAATCATTGTATTAAGCAGCACACCTTCAATCACCTTAGGCGATCCTACTATACTTTTAGGTAGATTCCTCAATTACGGGCTACTGGAAGATCTGGGGAGCATGGGCAGTTTGATTAAATGTACCCTTAAGAAAGCCAGAAGCACAACTCTTTCAGGTGGAGCCCTGTGTCCTATGTCCCAGTAGAAGAGCCCTGGATACTCTGATCCGATCCGTGGCAGGGTTTTAAGGAAACATATAAGCCAAACCTTAAACTCTAAACGCTAAACCCTAAACCCTAAACCCTAAACCCTAAATATGATAATAGGATACCGGGATTTTGGTTCTTAGGTCCCTGAGGGGGTCTGGGTTAAAAGGGGTTCCAAGAAGAGCCCAGGAGAACGGGAGCAGCGTGAGCCCTCTGACGCGCGTACGGGTGGATGGCTTTCAGCTTCTTAGTAAAGTCAGTTACAGTACCCTAAACCCTAAACCCTAAACCCTAAACCCTAAACCCTAAACCCCTAAACCCTAGGGTTTGGGGAGTGGGGCCTACGGTTTGGGGAGTAGGGTCTGGTATGAGGGTTTAGGGTTAGGCTTAGGGGTTAGGTACGATCATCCGTTTGTGATCCCTGTGACCTGTAGTTCCATATTGAAGCTGGACGAGTGCACCCCAAACCCTAAACCCGAAGCCTAAACGCCGAAACCCCCAAACACCAAAGCCCAAAACAACCCGACTCCCTAAACCCTAAACCCGATGCCCTAAACCCTAAACCCTAAACCCTAAACCCGATGCCCTAAACCTTGTAAGGCTTATGCCAAGCCTCACGAAAGGAAAGGCGTGGGCTTCCTTTGTGAACCTGGGCTCTTCAGGAAATTTCGAGTTTAGGATTCATAGGATTTAGACAAGAGGGTTTTTTGGGGGTTTGAGGGTTTAGGGTTTAGGATTCCGGATTTAGGGTATGGCTAGGGTTTAGGGCTTGGGTTTTTTTTGGCTTTAGGTTTCGCAACTTTAGTTGTGGGGTTTAGGGTTTGCATGAGCTGTACATGGGAGTGCCTTCACGGTTTCCCTTTTTAAGTTAAATCGCACTACCAAGGAACTGTGGCCTTTAAGCCTTTTTTGGGCTGCACTTAGTAGCAAAAGCTTAACCTTTATCGTAATATTTGCCTTCGGAAGTTGGGCGGGTAAGCGGTTGCAAGCTAGAAGTACCATCACAGGTTCCATGGTGCTGTTGTGAGGACGTAACGTATGGTGCCACCACGTTGTACGATAATGTGTTGCGGAAGTGGCTTCAAGCTTACAAGGGTACAGGAAGCATGCCTACTTAATTGCCAGATACTCTTATCGCGGTAAGTTAACCCTAAACCCTTAAACCCTAAACCCCAGACGGACAAGAACCCAGGAACTGGGAGCAAGGGCCTTTGGACGTGAAGAAGATCTCATGTGCGGTTTCTGCGCTCCTGCCAGTGGATGAGTGTGATGCACGGCGCTTTGTCTTGATGGAGCTCGGGCTATCCGAGGATCATCCCGACAACACGGAAATCAAGCAGAAGGAAGTGGTCGACTACTTGCTACCTTCCATGCGACGTCAGCTCCGTCGCCTTATCGGTGAAGCCCCGAAGCGAAACGCACCCGCACTCTGTCCGAACTCGGACGAGGGAGAGCTGAAGCAGTGGTTCCAGCTCCCAGGCCGTTCTTGAGAGTCGTGTTTTGGTGTTAGTGGTGCTCTAGCCCCGTATAGGCAGGACCCCAGCTCCTGCGTTGAACCCTAAACCCTAAACCCTAAACCCTAAACCCTAGTTGCACAGGGCCATCTCGAAGAGCAGCCCAGGTTCTGGGATACCCGGAACTCGGGCTTCTTAGACCATGCTACTCTGCATCTGGCCGTGACGACGGCCTTCCACACGGCCCTGGCCAAGTCTGCCGACCCCTCGACGAAGCTGGCGGTGGCAAATGCCTTCTTTGCGGAGATCGGGCTCCGGGAGTGCGAGGCAGCGAGCTTAGCCGAGCCCTCTTTGGGTGATATAGGGGCCTTAATAATTAAATAGGGTTTGGGATAAATTATGCTGTAAATATAATAAGGAGCCCACAAAACCCTATTCCAATTATTAAGGCTCCTACATTAGATCCCTTACTCAATTAAGGAACTCCATGGATTAGAGGGGTGCTTGGTACTAGTATATATCGTAGAAGAGCACGCAGAGGCAGTGAGCATGGATGACTTCATGGCGAAGCTGGCGCCACAACTCCTCGCCAACCTACCGGTGGCGTATGGTCGAGGGTGGCCTTCCGGAGCCCCCATCGATCCTAAGCAGCCACTGACGCTGAAGCTTCGAGAGATGCGATCGGGGGTGGAGCGCCCCGTCCAGTTCGACGTGGCTGGAGAGGTTCAAGGGGCTAAAAGAGGGACCCTTAAAGGGACCTTGGGGTTCTCATAGGGGCTTTATGAGACTATATAAGGGGCATATAAGGGTTATATAGGGTTAGGGGTCCCTTCTAGGCGTCCCACCTATTGTCCCTTAAGAGGTGTTGATTGGCGATCTGCGCCGTGTGGCACATCGGCGTTTTCCCGTCGTCCTGGCTCGGAGGGAGGCCGGGCTTTCTCATAAAGATCCTTATCATAAGGGTTTCGGGTCAAGGGTTTAGGGTTTCATAACTGTCATAACTAAGACTATAGGATTCTTTTAAGAAGGACCCCTAGGCCCACAGGCCAGAGAACTACCTCAAATATGGTCAGAGCTCTCCAGGTGAAGCTTTATGTCATGGGGCAGCTTCTCGAAGATGACATGCAGCCCCTCTTCAATGTCCGTGGCATCCACGACGGTGCCACAGTGAACTTCATGCCAGGCAAGCACAGCGCAGAGTCTAAGGAGCCGTCGCTTTGCGCCACACAGTGCAAGCAGAAGCTGCGGATGGGTGAGAAGCTGAATCCAAGCCGTTCTGGGCAATTTTTTTGAGTGTTAGATCGTATAGCTTTCAGATGAAAAGCTGTTGCTTTTTCGAGGGCCTCCAAGCCTAAACCCAGGAAAAGTTGATGGCCCCCCAAATCCTCAAGCCCTAAACCCCTGAAGTGTACCGAAACCCCCAAACCCTGAACCCCTAAACCCATGCACCCCCCCCCCCCTCCCCAAAAACCCCCAAACTCTAGGACCCAGAGCCCCACAACCCAGGAATCACAACGATCTGCGCTTCAGCGACCTAGAGGACCTAGACACGGACGACCCTGATGGGCTCGAGGTCTCTTGTTCTGGAGTACCTTACTTGGAGGTTCATGGGTAGTTATACATGAGATATAAATAGGGTAACTATAATTATAACCCGTATTAGGGGGCTTATAACCATACTTATAACTACCCATGAACCTCCAAGTACCCTGCCCTACCCTATCAAAAACCGTACTTTGATGTAGGGTTTTGGGTTTAGCAACGGATTAGGGGTTATAGGATTTAGGGGTTTAGGATACTTTCATGTTTTTTTTGGGCGGACCTGCTTTTTAATCCTTAAAAGGAACCGTTATCAAACAAGACTTGGAGGTTCGTGGGTAGTTATAAGTGGGGTTACAAGTCCCCTAATATGGGTTATAACTCTAGTTACCTTACTTCTAACCTCACTTATAACTACCCATGA